ACTCTTCTACTGTAGCCTAGAAACGGTAGTCCTGTCCCAAGAATATCACAACGCCTGTCACATCCAATATATATAAAGTAATTTCGACAATATGTCCTTTCGTTGATGTCACCCGCATATGAATGAGCTCCGTGTGCATGTAATCCTTAGGGTGATACTAACCCTAAAACACTTGTGTTCATAATAGAAATATGTGTTCCATAATACCGTCTCCAAGATACTTACTAGTTTACAATTGTGTCCAACAACTGCCATCTGTTGTTGCCGTACAGAATTCTGCAAATATACCGACCGATTCACGTCAAATCATAGTCCATTAACACAGGCACACCCAGTTACACATATATCGCCCCAGAGCGATAATTTGGCATCGCTCCAGGAGAGTGCATTTAACAACGACATTCTCTTACATATATGTCCCATTAATCTGTATGCCATACTTTAATAGTTATTTTTACCTGCGCGAGAGATGAATAGCAGATACGCCTGTACCTTAACTAACCACCGGCCGTCATATTGTTGTAGATGTCGTAGCCGCCAGCACCTCGTAGAATATCATACTTACAGTACCATTATACAACCTAACGACTCTTTTCTGATGACGGTCAAGCCCGAACTGCCGTACACCAGCCCAAAAAAACCCCCCAGTTGAAACCGACAGGGGCACAAGTAATACTGCCGTAAAACCGTCTACTTCGCCACTAATCCCAAACCGCAGCCAGCAGGGGTACTATCGTGCTAGATGTCATTTGAAATTTTGTGGAATTTTCCAAAATTTAAGCTAGTGACTTCTAGTTTTATGTCATGCTGTGCGTTGATTATTCCTGATTTGCGATACCAGTGGTTACCGACGTAACTTGTGAAATTTTTCGTAAAAACTTGTCACCAACCCTGGTACCAGATATGGTCCCTTGATAATCTCTATCTGTTCCCTGGCGATCACAATTTCGACGGGGTATAGCTCGTTCTGCTAAATAAAAATCTTCTATACGACCAACATATGTCGTCCTCGAGTTCAAATTGATTATGTTTCCGTTTTACACAATATTAGCATTTAGTGTTGCCCTTCGCCACCCATATCATGTTCATGAGCTCCTATACCATGATCAGTGGCTCGGCTCCGGCCGGCCAAATAAAATGAAGACGTACCATTCGTATAATTGTTAAGTTCGGAACCTATAATTTCGGTTGGCGCTCGAAAAAAAGTCTTGAGCTTCTATCAATTGCATAGTTCACGTTCATCTAGACTATGCGATCGCATTGAGTCAAGTCAGCCCATTCTATTGAAAATTTCATGATTCTCAAATTAGTAGCCGAATTAGCAGAATAGCCTCCTTAACTTCTTGCACATGTGCTAGCATCTTTAAGTGGTCTTTCCGCTCGATAACCCCTTCAATGTGTTGTTTGGCCTTCTCCAGCGTAGAAATAGATTGTTGAGTTTTAGATACTAAACCGTCTAGCGTAGCATGTATCTCTGCCTTAGTTTCTTCATCCGGTGTCGAATCAGAGGAAATTATGTTGCCAGCTCATTCGTAAGCAATGGCGATTGCCGATAAATTCCAAGCAGTCGTTTCAACAATTGATATTTGTCCACGTAGTATAGGTTTTGAACTTGTAAGAGCCTATTTTTAGCACCGCGAATACTCGTGTCCTCGTTGCTTCCTGGTACTAGTATATGCGTTAATACCTGTTAGCACTGGTGGGTAAGTACCCAGTGTGTCTCTTACTCTTACACTATAAGATTCACCGTTATATACACTGTAAAGATGTCGTTAAGATGGCGATTGCTGATGAATTCCAACAATCGAACACAGACGTTCTTGTCTACGTAGTATACGTTTTGAACGTGTAAAAGTCTATTTTATTTTCACCGCGGATACTCGTGTCTTCGTTGCTTCCTGGTACTAACATGTGTGTTAACACATATTAGCACTGGTGGATAAGTACCCATTAGGTCTCGTGCTCTTTCCTCATAAGATTTATCGTTCTAGACGCTGTATAAACGAACATTAAATTCAGCATCTGAATTGCTAGTATGCGTTGCCATCACTCTAGTGTTCATGGGTTGTCGCATTTCCGTATACGTTAGGGGGGCCAGATCGATAAATCTCCACAGTTCCCATGTTAGTTATGTAAATATTTGTGCTGGTCCTGGTTGCCATTTCTCCATACAAAGGTAGCAAAAGAATAAGAGTGGTAACCGAGACCATTGTAGCATAACTTTTTTAATTTTTCTTGTCTTCTGCAAGAATTTTTGTATTCGAAGTAACCAACAGGTCTCGACAATCAGTGTAGGTCGGTGTTTTAGTGGTTTTATACCTAAGGTGTTTGTGCTAGTGTTCAGCCGCTTGAGGTGGCCAGGGTAAATGCTCATATCGTCAGTACGAGAAACCTTCTGCAGAACACTTTAACACTTCGATGGTATTTCGACATCTCTGCAACTAAATCTCACGCTGATCACATGATACCTTTCCGCATATATTAAAACTCGCTTAGGAATGCAGCTATTTTTAGAATGTAGTGGTTGACAGACTTAATCAACTCTCGGGAGTTGGTTGAGAAACTTAATCTGCTTTCGGTAGTCGGCTAAGTAGTAACTCAACTCTCGGGAGTAATTTAAATATCTTAATTAGCTCTCGGGAGTGAGCTAACTCCGATGACTTCTATAAATCAAAGAGGTTTTCTTACTGTAAAATCTGGCCTGAGACCTGTAGTCTCTCACTCGGCTCAATCAAATCAGAACCGATGACGATGATTCTAAACCAATGAATTTTAGTTTTCCACCTTTTAGTATGGAGTTCTGCTCTTTCTCAGTGCCAGAGAGGGAGCTGCGTGTAGCAAGTTTGATGTACGGAAGCCACATATCATCTATGTAGATATACTGTGTCGCCTCGGGCGTATAGAGTATATTCTCACATTGTCTCTCAGAATCGGTGACGCATCTATGTACACCCTGGGTTGAAAACACGGCCCAGTGACCACCCATGACTAAGGTCACGGCGCATGGATAGCGATATTTCTCTTCCGTAAGGCCCATCTCCTGTGCTCGTATACGTGATAGACATATTAACTTATGCATCCATGTAGGAGTCCAACGTTGATAAAAACTGTAGGACCGAGACTCTTCCATAAATTTCTTAAACTGGCGGTATAATCAGTTTACTGAAATCAGTAAACCCTTAGGAGGACGCTGTTGTATGAGATTGGATGGTCGAGCATCCGTGGTTAGTCGTTGTTTCTGTTTTCGGTTTGGCACTGCGAATACTTCATTCACACAGCCAACCTCTCCCTCTGGAAGATATCAAAACATTCATATTAAGTTTTTCTTGCTTAGGTATTAAACGAATATGCTCCTCACGAGATCTTTCCCAACTTTGGTATCTGGTAAAACATTTATAGCTCCATCCAACATAATAATATGTTTTTATTCTCCAGCAGCATTCTCGCGCCTGGTGAAAGACCATCCAAGGGACTACCTGAACCGGCCACAAACTTTTTCCCCAGTGATAACGAATCCGCACACAGCGCCACCGGTGCCGACTACTTACCAATACATCCGATTGCTTCTTAATCCCGAGCGACCCTTTCTTTCAAGTCGGGCCCATTCCCGGGCGCTCTGAAACACACGTTCAGTGACTCGCTTGTACGCCGCGCTTTCCTCACTTCAACCCCATATTCCTCTTCTTCCAGATAGTTCATCCAATGAGCAGATCATACGATTCTATAAGAATATCTGTGACGACAGCAGGATTTCCTGGCACGTCCGCGTGGCCGCTTCCGTCGTGTTGTATACTGTCGTGCCGGGAGATAATTTTTATTATTATCATGTTCTGTGTTCTGTATATATGGCATGCTTGCAGGGTTCTGACATATCCCTGATGCCCTGGTTGCTTAAACCCAGCATCCGACCTCAGAGGGTGGGTTCAACTCCACCTTGGCACCTTTGCCCTTTATTTCCTTTTCCTGGGCCTTGATGTCCTTGACAGGGCTGTTGTCTTTAATCTCCTTCAGGCCTTTCGTCTGTTTCAACCACTCCTTTCGCATGTGATACTATCAGTCCTTGGTTAGATTGTTCTTCGGCCAAAGCAGCGTAGTCACAGTTGCCCATTTTCATTGCTCTATGGCAGGCAACTATCCAACCTCAACTGCAGAAAACGGAACTGTCAGTTTGTAGCCCAGTTCGTGTACCTGCAGTTCTATCACTCGAGCCAAACATGACATATATTTTTCCAGCCCTCGATTCTCAATTTCCATATTCAAGACCATCTCCGTTGGGCTCATCCATAGCCCTTGGTAGTACTAGCTCTCATCGCCATCTTTCCCAATAGCTCAGAAACAAAAAAAAGGGGAGGGGGGGGGGGGGGGGGGGTTCTCTGTCTTCGTT